GTGAGACGGACTAGTCAACATCGGTGAACATCTTCATGTTGATCGTATCTTCTATACGACTCATGCTCGACCTTTCGGTCTTCTGTGTTCCGAGGCCATGTCTGTACATGCTAGGCTCGTCAAGTCAACCTAAGTGTTTGCATGTGTAAATCTGTCTTACACCCGTTGTATGTGAACGTCTGAATAAAACACCCGATCATCACGTGGTGTTTTGAAACAGCGAACTGTCGCAACGGTGCACAGTTAGGGGGAACACTTCTTGAAATTATTGTGAGGGATCATCTTATTTACTACTGTCGTTCTAAGTAAACAAGATGCAAAACATGATAAACATCACATGCAATCAAATAATAAACGTGACATGATATGGCCAATATCACATAGCTCCTTTGATCTCCATCTTGGGGCTCCATGATCATCTTGTCACCGGCTTGACACCATGATCTCCATCATCGTGTCTCCATGAAGTTGCTCGCCAACTATTACTTCTACTACTATGGCTAACGCGTTTAGCAATAAAGTAAAGTAGTTTACATGGCGTTTCTCGATGACACGCAGGTCATTAAAAGAATAAAGACAACTCCTATGGCTCCTGCCGGTTGTCATACTCATCGACATGCAAGTCGTGAATCCTATTACAATAGCATGAACATCTCATACATCACATATAGATCATTCATCATTCATCACAACTTTGGCCATATCATATCACAAACCACTTGCTGCAAAAACAAGTTAGACGTCCTCTAATTGTTGTTGCAAGGTTTACGTGGCTGAATTAGGGTTCTAGCAAGAACGTTTTCTTACCTACGTTAAAGCCACAACGTGATTTGTCAACTTCTATTTACCCTTCATAAGGCCCCTGTTCATCGATTCCGCTCCAACTAAAGTAGGAGAGACAGACACCCGCCAGCCACCTTATGCAACTAGTGCATGTTAGTCGGTGGAACCGGTCTCACGTAAGCGTACGTGTAAGGTTGGTCCGGGCCGCTTCATCCCACAATACCGCTGAAGCAAGAAAGAACTAGTAACGGCAAGAGAGATGACAAATCTACGCCCACAACAAATTGTGTTCTACTCGCGCAAGAAGAACTACGCCTAGACCTAGCTCATGATGCCACTGTTGGGGAACGTTGCAGAAAACAAAAAAATTTCTACTCGTTTCACCAAGATCATCTAGGAGTTCATCTAGCAACGAGTGATTAGATGCATCTACATACCTTTGTAGATCGCGAGCGGAAGCGTTCAAAAGAACGGTGATGATGTAGTCGTACTCGACGTGATCCAAATCACCGATGACCAGCGCCGAACGGACGGCACCTCCGCGTTCAACACACGTACGGGACGGGAGACGTCTCCTCCTTCTTGATCCAGCAAGGGGGGAGGAGAGGTTGATGAAGGTCCAGCAGCACGACGGCGTGGTGGTGGATGCAGGGCGTCACAGCAGCAGGGCTTCGCCGAGACTACGAGGGAGAGACGTAACGGGGGGAGGTGGAGGCGCCAGGGGCTGGTGTAAAATCCCTCCTCTCCCCCCCACTATATATAGGGGTGCCAGGGGGGCGCCGGCCCTAGTAGATGGCATCTACTAGGGGGGGCGGCGGCCAAGGGGAGGTTTCCCTCCCCCCCAAGGCACCTAGGGGTGCCTTCCACCACTAGGACTCCTCCTAGGGGGAAACCCTAGGCGCATGGGCCTATAGGGGCTAGTGCCCTTGGCCCATCTAGGCCAAGGCGCACCCCCTAAAGCCCATGTGCCCCCCCGGGACAGGTGGCCCCACCCGGTGGACCCCCGGGACCCTTCCGGTGGTCCCGGTACAATACCGATAACCCCGAAACTTGTCCCGATGCCCGAAATAGCACTTCCTATATATAATTCTTTACCTCCGGACCATTCCGGAACTCCTCGTGACGTCCGGGATCTCATCCGGGACTCCGAACAACATTCGGGTTTCTGCATATACATATCTTCATAACCCTAGCGTCACCGAACCTTAAGTGTGTAGACCCTACGGGTTCGGGAGACAAGCAGACATGACCGAGACGACTCTCCGGTCAATAACCAACAGCGGGATCTGGATACCCATGTTGGCTCCCACATGCTCCACGATGATCTCATCGGATGAACCACGATGTCGAGGATTTAATCAATCCCGTACGCTATTCCCTTTGTCTGTCGATATGTTACTTGCCCGAGATTCGATCGTCGGTATCCCAATACCTCGTTCAATCTCGTTACCGGCAAGTCACTTTACTCGTACCGTAATGCATGATCCCGTGACCAGGCACTTGGTCACTCTGAGCTCATTATGATGATGCATTACCGAGTGGGCCCAGTGATACCTCTCCGTCACACGGAGTGACAAATCCCAGTCTTGATCCATGTCACCCAACAGACACTTTCAGAGATACCCGTAGTCTACCTTTATAGTCACCCAGTTACGTTGTGACGTTTGGCATACCCAAAGCACTCCTACGGTATCCGGGAGTTGCACGATCTCATGGTCTAAGGAAAAGATACTTTGACATTGGAAAACTCTAGCAAACGAACTATACGATCTTGTGCTATGTTTAGGATTGGGTCTTGTCGATCACATCATTCTCCTAATGATGTGATCTCGTTATCAATGACATCCAGTGTCCATAGTCAGGAAACCGTGACTATCTGTTGATCAACGAGCTAGTCAACTAGAGGCTCACCAGGGACATGTTGGTGTCTGTTATTCACACATGTATTATGATTTCCGGATAACACAATTATAGCATGAATAAAGACAATTATCATGAACAAGGAAATATAATAATAATGCTTTTATTATTGCCTCTAGGGCATATTTCCAACACAAATGGCCGTACATACAACTATGGCTACTATCTTGCGGATGATATCTACCCAAAGTGGCAAACATTTGTGAAGCCGTTGAAAAAACTGGAAGGTAAGAAAAATCTTGATTTCCACAATGCTCAGGCGGCTGGTAGAAAAGATGCGAAGAGAACTTTTGGGATTTTGCAAGCCCAATTTACTATTGTGAGAGGACCGGCTAGATTTTAGGATCAAAAGATGCTTTGATACACCATCAACGCTTTACAACATGATCATCGAGAATGAGCGTGGCCAAGATGTAGACTACTCTCACTACGAGCTCTTGGGACATCCCGTGCGAGTGCGGCGGAGGGCTGCCAGGGTGGCCCATTTTGTTGCCTCCTATCAATGTCATTCGACGTGCCGAAACGCATGATAATCTTCAGAAGGATCTCATCGAGGAGTGGTGGGCATGGAATGACCGACAAAATGTATCATGATTTGTGCGCTTGATGTTGTATTGTTAAACTATTGTTGATTTATTTTATTTGTGTTCGATTTTCTTGGTTGTGTTTGAAGTGCATATGTTGTTTGTGCGAGAGCGCGCACGCAACATTTTTGCAGCGTCTGCGAGAGCTACTCTCGTGCGCTAAACTTTGCAGCGGCAGCTGGAGCCAGCGCTCCGCGCCGCACAAAAACAGACGATAGACACGTTACAAACGTTTTTTTAGCGCGCCGTTTTTAGCGCGCCACGTGTTGGGTGGCCGCTGGAGATGCTCTGAGCATAGCACTGGCCCGCTGGCCCACTGACTGGCCGAAGTACATACCTACCTATCCGTGACTTTGATCCCGGCGTCATACCACCAAAAAATTACTCCTATTGTACTTCCTCCGTCTAGGTGTGTAAGTCATCTTACGAAAATCAAATACTTCTACGAGTACAACCCGCACCCTTACGGCGGCGACATTAGCACTTAGGTACGGTACATTAACTCTCATCTCGTTTCTTGTTTCGTGACATATCAAACAATAAGAGACGTGGGTCATGCATGATTTAAATGACTTGAGCTATCAAACGACATGCAGTGATTAATTCATTACATATTATGTTTTTAATTAGAAAAAAGATTAAGTTTTCTTGTTTTTTCCTTCATCTTGATCACGGTGCACAACCTTATACTACCATTACGACGAGCCGATGACTTTACACACCTACGCACCTACTCCATGGAGGGAGTACCACTCTACCTCACCCACTGTCCCACTCTCGTCGCACGCCCTCGAACTCGGTGCGCAATAATGCTACGGCGGCATCTTCCTCCCGTCCCAACCGTGCGGTGGCTTCCAAACGCCGCCTCCGTCACCGCTTCGCCGTCGCCATCACCCGAAACTAACAAGCCACCAGCCGCCCCCCACCCCGCACATGCACTCGTCTGCTCCCACCGCCTCCTCGCTCTCACACACCCCACTCTGTCTCCACTCCAGCACACGCCCCCAGCCATCCTTAACCACCGCTCTTCCATGGCGGCCGCCGACGACGATGGCCAGATCGACGACGACGAGTTCTACGAGTACAACCCGCACCCTTACGGCGGCGGCTACGACATCGCCGCCACCTACGGCGCACCCCTCCCGCCCTCCACCTCCACGTGCTACCCCGTCTCCTCCCCCGCCGGCGCCCCCGCGCGCCCATCTCCGCGGCCGCCCGCGCCCGCGCCTGTTCCTGCTCCCGCCACGCCGCAGCCGGCACCAGCTTCGCCCGCGAAGCCTCGGCCGGCCCCATCGCCAGAGCCGGCGAGGACACCGCCCTTTTCGCCGGTTGCGGTGCCGGTGCCGGTCGCGGAGCCGTTCTACTGGCCCAAGCCGCACGACTACGGGGACGCGCCGCGGTGGCCGCCGGTGTACCCCACGCCGGAGGTGTTCCGGCGCTGGCCGTACCTGGCGGCGGGGTCGCATTGCTGCCACTCGCGGGGCGGGCCGCGCGACTACTGGAGGCAGTGCATGCGCGGGCTGGACTTCCTCTTCGGCCACGCCGACGGGTACGGGGAGCGGCGGATCGGGACCGACTGCCACGGGGTCCCCGTGTACGCCAACAAAAAGGGGGGAGTGGAGGACGCCGTGGTCGTGGAGGTGCCGCCGCCGACAATCGGGAATGTGCAGTGGCACGACGCCGGCGAGGTGCCGGCAACTGGGAATGCGCAGTGGCACGGCCACGCCGAGGTGCCGGCCATTGGGAATGTGCAGTGGCACGACCACGGCGAGGTGCCGGCGATTGGGAATGTGCAGTGGCACGACGCCGGCGAGGCGCACGAGCAGAGCAATGTGAGGAAATACACCGCATCATTCTTCAGTATATCATGCTTTAGTTTACTCTTGGCATACTACTATAATGTTTCAGTATATATCTTCCTCTGTCAGTATTATATATTGACCGATTCCTTCATTGTTTTGTACTCGGAGACAGTGGCTATCTTCGTACGACAATGCAAAAGAGGATACGTATGCATACGCCCATTCTACGTATGGCTCGTATGACGCGTCCTACGGACAGTCTTACAGTGTTGATGCTGTTTCGGATGAACCTACTTGGTTTCCCAATCAAAGCTACCAGGATGTTTACAGAGAGGAGGAACCTCGGTATCAGGTATTTCTCAGCTCTGAATGATCCAAGTGTGAGCCACTCAGTTAACTAGTGACCAGTTGTCATCGTGCGCATTCAGCTCAATTTATGTATAAGTGTTTTAATAACTTTGTTGTGCTGGTCAGTTTCAGTGTTGTCAGCATATTGACTTGCTCTGCCCAATGATTAATTTGACCTTTATAAAGAGCAACATTAAACTAGAAATGCAAAACGAATCAATGAGTTGTATGCCTGAAAGATGCTTCAGTAACTAGAGTAGGCAATCCAGTCCATGATTCATCACTTTCCTTTTTCAGAACATCCATGATTCGTTTACTTATTATACTTGCACCTGGACCTGTCCCTGCTTGTTATATTCACATCTAAACCCCATCTCAGTTTCACCCAAGCGTCCTGTTATGGTGCAGAGAGTACTATTTCAGCTCAACCAATATATTGCTACAATCAAAGATTTAGTGAACGGACACCCTAAAGCTGTACTATTTGTTTGTTTAACGTGGTCATATATATTGCTTGTTTAATCTTTCACTGAATGAGGTAGCCACAGGCACATCAGTGTTGTCTAACTACACATCTGCATATATATTTGCTCTGCCTGACTGACTAATCTTTTCAATGGAGGATCAATAGACAAGTCACACAAAACAAAGCAAGAAGATCTTTTATATGTTTGAGAGAGATGCTCCAGTAATAGTCTGCCCAATCTATGATTAGTTACTTATGACTTACACTCTATACTGCTTGACTGCTTGTTATCTTCACATCTAAACCCCATCTCAATTTCAATACAGGAGGTTTTGCCCAGTTATGGCATAGAAAGCACATTTTCATCTCAACCTATTTATTGTTACAATCAGCACACTGGTGAACAATCACTGCATGTTCAGGTTGAACCTCCGGAAACATTTTATTCTCACAAGTTGGAGTACCACGAGGTTTGTTAGCTTTCAATGTCATTTACTTAGCGCTTTCAGTTTTGTGTTGATACATCAGTAGTTGCTATACATCTATTTGCTTATCCAGGCTGACTACATTTGCCTCCGTGAAAATATAATATGTTTTTCTATATTCTCATAATTGCTAACTACATAATATTTTGATCCTTATATAGAATTTCTCAACATATACCAACCATATTGATAATTCGGAGATATCGACACAGTCATGTGAGATACAGCCCTATGCATATGTACCTGATAGCCCAGTTGAAGCTTATCAACCTTCTTGGTCGATGAATTTGGGATACTACCAGGACTCCGCAGAAGAGGTGACTCCTCAGTATGATAATGTAAGGTGTACTCCTGTCATATTTGAGATGCTACTGATACAACACTGATATAAGACCTGTTTGTTTATAAAACTGTCATATTGACAGATTATTGACTGATTATTCAGAGTACAGCTAATATATCTTTTCTTTGTTAACTCATTGTTTTGGCTAGCAGGATGCTTTCGGATCTGGTGAATACGGAGGCATGGCAAGCATATTCTCGTCGTCCTCCTATCCTCAGCAAGTAGAAGTTTATGAGCAATCTTACGGTGATGAGAATGTCTCCTTAGAACAAAATTTCCAGAGCAACTGGAATGCTTTTTCTGAAGATACCTCTGGAATCACTAAATCAGTAAGCATAAGAGCGTGTATTGTTATTATTATTTTTTGTCAGTGTTATAGATCAAATTGCAATGCTGGACACTTACATTTTTCTGCGACATATTTTTCCCTGTGAACTGAATGTGCCGGCATAGGCTTATTTTCTAATAAAGCAATCCTTATCTGCGAGAACCTGTTGTTGTAAGCAAACTCTCAGCCATATTGTCTACTGTTGCTATCGCAACTATAGAATCGTAGAATTCAGATTTTTCCCTATCCCTTTACGTGGGAGATTTTCTTTAATGTAAATAGCGTTAGTTGTTTAATAATTTTAGCTTAATTTTCTGTCTGTGACTAGCAAACAGTTAAGACAACTCGGTTTATGTCATTTTAACAATTTAACAAGTCATGTTGTTTCTTGTGCTTTGCCAGGATTTTTTTAGGTTTGCAACTGAAAAATGAGTTGTTTTGTATGGTTAATACTTGTATATGTGGAGCAAAATAGCTTACCGTATTTAACCTGCAGGTTGATGATTGCAACCATCTGAATGGCTCCTTCTGGCCCTTTGGAGAATACTCAACATATACTGTATAGTCTATAATGTTGTAATTTCAGTTTAGTATCAAAATATCATATACCCCCTCCGTCCCGAAATAACTGTTGTAATTTCACTTCAGGATCACATGTATGGACATTTTGATCTAATTTATTTGGCCAAATGTAAGTAGTAAACCGTGTCATAGGAAAAGTGTAAGTAGTAAGTTGTTTTTGCACGATATTATGTACGACCAAATATGTGTTAGTTATGCATAAAATGCAAGGTAATAACCGCATTGCTGATCCTAGTTGCATTTACTTATAAAGTTGTTTTCCATTTTGTGTTATGTATTTGATCATGATATTTATATTTTTTTCCTTGCAAAGACCTACTGTGCGCTGGAACCATTTACGGTAAGCCACCTTTGTGAACTCTTGAGGTTTGTAACACTATTACTTCATTTTTGTTCTCACAGGATATGTTTACTGGATATCTATTCAGATTTGAACAATATCACAAAAATGCATCATCCAAACTTCTCCTTGCTGTTGATTTTCATTTTGTGCTATGTATCTGATCATGGTATTTATACATTTTTCCTTGCGTAAGACATACTGTGTGCTAGAATCATTTATGGTCAGCCATGCTTGTGAATAGCCTTGAATCTTAGTAAACTCTTGAGGTTTTTGACACCAACTTCACTACTTTAAGTTCTTCTCACAGGATATCTTCAGCGGATACCTATTCGGATTTGAACAATGTCACAAAAATGCCTCATCTAAACACCTCCTTGCAGTTTACTGTCGGACAACTGACCGGATTCAAGCCCGGCCTAGACCCTCTACTCGGAAGGACTCGTGGAAATCCTCAGAAACTAGTATTGCCCAACTCACCAGTATTAACACAGAAATGTTGCATCTATCCAGGCCTCAGTTTGTTTGGACTCGTTAGCTCTTGTCGTTCAGCTTCTGTTTCCTCTCATCTTGTCTCTCCGTAAACACTCTCCTCTCATCTTATCTCTCTGTAAACGCTCTCCTCTCATCTTGTCTCTCCGTAGACAGTGCTAAAAGTAGGGCTCCAGACTTGAAAGCAAAGTAGTACCACAAGCTTGAATTGGCATGAATATACAACATGTAGGCTAATTGTTGAAACTTTCTGACTGTCAAACAGTTCAATTTGCGGTGATATTAACTTGGACTTGAGTTTCAAACCAAATGTGCTGTTTTGGATTTGCACACCGCTGTATTGTTCTACATTTGCCACCATGCCCCATCCGATCCGGAGTTTTGTTGTGTTACTACGTCCCTGTGGTCTGTTATGTAGCTGGAATCATTAGCATTGTCATGACCTTTTTGTTAAACTTCCTTATTATACGTAAGCAAACATCTCTGCGACTATAATTGTTTGTCTCCTTAAATCTGCAGGATTTGGTTGGGATGTAGCTTTCAGTACTCTGCAAACTATGGACACCCGAACATCTGAATACGATATGTAGGACATGCTGCCTATCTAGGAACTGTTTGTTCTTAACTATTGCATACGCTGAGTTTTCGGACTTATTAACATCCTTGGAAAACCTAATCATGAAGCAAGAAAAATGGGGACACCAAAGTAGGCAGCTAAATTCTGTTGTAAGACTTGCAGATGACTACGCATTTAGGGGAGCAATCAAAATGATAGGTAAGCTTTCACTTTTGGATATCTGCAAGGCCCATATAGGGTACTCAACAGAATACCTATTATGGTTAACGCTAGTTTTTTTTAGGGGATTATGGTTAACACTAGTGTTTGTGGCTTACTGTTTTCTATAGGTCAAATCTTTGCAACCATTCTGGGCCTGCTGGGCCTGGCCCAGTTAGTCCTTCTACCAGGCCCCTGGATGTGATCTGAGCTTGCAAACATAAAATCAGAGTCTTCTAAAAAAACATAAAATCAGAGGAACAAACAGAAGTTCTGCTGAAGCTATAGGTATGATGGTGGGTTTGAATGCTGAAGTCTGATTTAATAATTCCTTGAAGAGTGAGTCAACTAAACCAGGAGAGAAACATCAGATGGGCTATCAGCACACCAGCACTGAATACTCCATAGGCTTGAACTTTTCATATATACAATGTTTGAGCTTATGCAGTTCATAACTGATGGCCATAAAAAAAAACCTTCTGCTCTTGTACAATTTTTTAGTTGCATGAATGGCAGACGCACTCATTGGAGATAGATATATTTCTGATGCCCCTTCCTTCTTTTTCTTCTTAAATCATCATGATCCTCTAAATTAAGATTAACATGCCCAGAGAAAAAGTTGAAGTTAGGACATAGAAAAACAGAAAGATGCTTGATGGATCTCCTCCAGGGCCATGATATCCCTCGCTTTATTCCCATGCTCCCTAGCTAGTTGAACTGCCGAGGTTGGCAGACGCTGTTTGTAAACAGTTGAAGAACGAGAGTGCCTTTTGAATTACTAGTACCGCTCCTCCCTGTTTGTTTGACTCAACCTTTCCACTTTCCAACTGCCCGTAGAAAAGACTGTCAAAAAGGTCCAGTCAAATACAGCACTAGTTGTTGTTGTTGTCATGGTCCTTTATGTTTGTAGCAGGTGCTACTACCTGTACGTGTATTATTATGCAAGTAATTGACACTGCTGGCTTTGAAGCAGTGACGCGGGGTGAAATTCTGATTGGCGGTGAAACTGAGACCTTCACGCGGTTAAAATTACCACACTTTGTTTGACCAATATCTCAGTTATAGTTACAGCAAGTTTAGCCAGCCAAAAGGGAATCTGAGTAAAGGCCAAGGGATGCCAAAAGTAAGTACGATAACAATTTTATACTACTAACACATGATAATGTCCTTTCTTGAGGCGCCAAATTGCCATTTCGTTTCTATGATTGATTGGATGCTTTTTCAGTACTGTCAGTCACTCAGTCTGCCAATGGAGTGTGTATGTACCATCTGTTCTTTCACCTTTTATGATTTCATACATCTAGGGGCAACTTTTTTTTTTAAATAAACATCTAGCTGGTTTTGAGATTTTATGAGTTTGAACTCTAGTCTACCCCAACTTACTCGGGACTAGAGGTTCTGTTGTTGTTGTAAACATCTACGGGCACCAAGTAAATGCCCTTTGATTCCTGTGTGTGTATATATATACCCTATATGAGGAAAAATAATTATGAAAAAAAATCAAATCTAGAACTTTTTTGGAATAAACTTGACATTTTGGGCACTAGTATATAAATTTTCACAATGGAAAAACCCCTGTTGACTTCTGGGCAAAAAGCAATTTTATTGTTATATACAAGTTACTATTCACACATATTTGAACTTAATTTTAGTTTTTTTTTCCTTGCAGTCAACAGTTTTTTTCCTTTGTGGATTTTTTTTACAAGTAAAATGGAAGGTCAACTTTGTTTTTTAAAAAATCAGTCTTTCTATATTTTTTGTAATTACTATTTTTTTTGCGTATAGGATGTATAACTGTATATACACACAAAAACCAAACGTCCATATGCAGGGCAACTGGCCCAATTCCAGACATAAAAGTGAATATGCATTTTTTTTCTAACAACACACATTCTTAAATTTGGGAATATAATCGTATTTGTTTTCCTTGTACAATGATTAGACTTATCTTGTTAATCAATACTGTCATGGTGTGAGCCCAAAAATATGAACGGCGTAGGTATTATTTCTTTGCTATCGTCTTCAGCCTTGTTTGAACATGGTCTTTGTAATATAATACAGAGTAATAGTTGCATCAAGACAAGGGGGGCAGTATTAATAAGCAGATAAGGGCGCCATACGATCTGATGATTCTCTGATCAGATCCCTCCAACTAATTAATTCCTTGAGCAGTATTCAAAACAGAAGGGAGGGTCAGATTATAGTTTATACAGATCGACGTTGAACGAGAAGCAGGCTAAAAACAAATCGTTTGAGATAATACAAGTGCAAACGAGGCATGGTCACATCCACCTGAATAAATTTAATGCAGCTGTGTTACTTACCCTTCTCAGTGACGTGTGCATTTCTTAAGATTTAACCGCGTTTACTTACCACATGCGCTCTCGCTTTCGGGTGACGAGCAAACTTGTCGAGTCGATTAGGCTCGCACAGAAGAAAATCATTCAGGGAGGCCTCGACATCAGCTTAGGCTGTCTGATTTGCAATTTCAATAGTAGTTGACTTGATGGGCTCGATAGAAAATTTCTGGAGAGATACAGCAGCAGATTTTGTGCTTCCAGCTCCAGGTATTGGAATTTGGAAGCTTCCCTGGAGATGCATAATGGTTTGATTGTGCACGTAGAGGACATGCACTTTTTGAATCTTTAGCAATGGGGCGACTCATTTCGTCTGCCCGCGTTCGTTTGAGTCGGCGCGGACAAAAGTGGCGGCTCAACGCATCGACCCAAACTTAAATTGTGTTCGTCTGGCGTCTGCGCCGACCCATTTCTGGTCCAAAATTGCGTCTGCAATGTGTCGACGCGGACGCGAAGCGGATGCGCCGCGCGTCTCCTCACAGTCCGTCGCGTCCCCATCTGCGGCCACTCAACCGCCACCGGTCGTCTTATTTATGACGACCACCGACAGCGGGCCCATGCGTCAGCCAGTGGAAGCGTCCTTTTTTAACTACGCGTGTGGCGGGGTCGGCCTCATCCACTTCTCTCATCCACATCTGGCCCCCACCACTCCCTTTGCTTCCTTGCCGGCGACCGCAAACCCTAGCCATGGGCCTCTTCGGCAGCAGCAATGGCAAGGGCATCCCCGGCGCCTCGTCCTCCCGTGCTCCCCTTCCCCCTCCTCCTCCTCCGGCGGCGACGCGTTTCCGCCCGGGTCGCCGGCGCCTACACATCCCGGTGCACCAAGCGCAGTGGAACTGGGAGTATAGACGGCCATTGCCGTACCCTGATGTCACGCTGCCGCAGGATCCGCAGCGGATCCCGGTGCCGGCGGTTCCTCGTACCCAACGGGCGCACGACGACGAGGTGCGCAGACGCCGCGCACAGCTCACGCCGGAGCAGCGCCGGCTGCCAGAGTACGCCGCTGACTCCCCCAACTG